CCTGGCAGGTCAGTTCACCTCTTTGACCTCGGTCTCCCCTTCTGGAAAGCAGAAGCGTTGATCTAGGTAACCCCGGGCAGTCTGTGATGCAGGGCTTAATAAAAATGGGAGATAGAAGTATTCGTTGGTCCCCGATTCGGCAGACATTTCTCTTAGGATTCCTGAGTGCCAGGCACTGTGCTAGTTCTGGAGATACCTCATGAACAGCACAGGGAAGTTCCTGCCCTCATGGAACCCACACTCCAGGGAGGGAGACACACAAGGAACAAGACACAAGTCAAAGTCACGTTGTATCAGGTCGTGATACATCTGTGGGGCTAGGGGGTTGCAGTTTTACATGGGGTCTGTCTCAAGAAGGGGCTTGATGAAAAGGTAGCATTTGAACACAGACCTGAGGGGGGTGAGTGGGGGAGCCATGCCAACACCCAGACAGAGGGATCTGGCAAGTGCAAAGGCCCTGAGGCGGGGGGCTTCCTGGTATGTTTGAGGGGCAGGAGAGGAGGTCAGACGTTACGGGGGCAGGTGGGTTGGGGCCTGCTCTGGGATCGCACAGATGATTACACAGACATCGGCTTCTACTCTGAGTGCCAGCGGGGGGCCTGTGCAGCGGGTTGAGCAGAGGTGCCCACTTAAGGTTCTAGCAGGCTCACTCTGGGGCTGTGTTGGGACTAGGCCGCAGAAGTGGGGGTAGGGGGGGCCAGGGAGGCCAGTCAGCCGCTGTCACTGAGGTGAGGCGGCTTGGCCTGAGGTGGTAAGAGGTGAGCAGCAGCTGGGAGGATGCCCTGACTGGTTGGATGTGGGGCCGAGAAAGGGCGAAGTTAGGGAGGAAGGCCAGGTTTTGGCCTGAGCAGCAAGAAGGATAGACATTAAGATGCACAGACATGTGGACGGGCAGGTTTTGGGGGAGCTCAGGAGGTTCGCCTGGGACATATTTTGTGAGTTGGAGAAGCTGGATCGATAACCTACCTGGAGCCCTCAAGCACGGCAGCGTGCTTGGAGTCTCCATTCAGCATGGAGTTTGGATCCCCGGGGGTGGAGGCGTGCATGTGGGGTCCCCAGTGTCCCGTCTGGACTCTAGATTCCAGATGGCATTGGAAGCATGAGACTGGCTGAGAGGGCCTGGGGAGTCAGTGCTCACCCACCAGCTGGGTGACTACTGCATGCCTAGTCTGTGTCCTGACCCTGACATTCGGGGGGGGGGACGGGGGGGCAGGGAAGATGTAAACCTCATTCTAATCTGGTGCTTGCCCCCAGGCTTGTTTTCCAGACTGATTATTCCTTGGGGAGTAGAGGAGGCCAAGAAGACGCTGGAGGCTGGAGCACTCAGAGCAGGCTTCAGGAGAGCAGGGGCTCAGCCTGGGCCTGGAGAGATGAGTGGAACAGGGCCAGGCCTGGTGGAGGGGAAAGCCCTTCCAGGCAGGAGGAAGGGAGGGGGTGGGTGGGGGCATGGTGGGGTCAAGGTATAGAGGCAAACATGAGGCAGGGTGTGGTTGAGCTTGATGATGGCGAAAGGGCCCAGGGTGGTCAGACAGCTGGGCGTTTGGAATTTGTGTCCCAGCTGGGAACTCTGACATTGGGCAGTTACTTGGCCTTACCCAGCCTCATCTGCAAAATGGGTGTCCCTCTAGGAGACATTTTAGGATCTAACACTCCGCTCTGGATGTGACATGCTCAGCCTGGCATGTGGTGTGTGGTAGACCCTGGACATACCTGGGGAGGGGCATCAGCCCTGCCTTGGTGGGTCTCTTCCACGTGGCCCAGCAAAGGGAGGAGCTTCAAGGGGGCCACCGCTGGCAACACCGGGCCCACGTGGGTGCTGGCTGACCACTGGCCTGAGAGAGCTGAAGTGCCCAGCGCCCTGGCCACCTTTCTTAGGCCTCTTCTATTTTAGGGCTCAGTCCCAATGGATGAGGAAGCCTTGTCCAGCTTCACCACAGCTAATGACATCCTGGCCTCCCAGGCCATTTAAAAACAGCTCCACTATTTTTATCAACAGGAGGAGGCTGGCCTATCCTCCTCCCCAGACAGTGCCCACATAGGCTGATTTTAAGGAAACCAGGGCCTTGATAGGAAGATGGGTCATTGTCTCAAATCACAGACTGTGATCGCGCAAGATGGGCCCATGGAACCTTCTGGGGGGGTGTCAGCTGTCACCTTTACTTGCGGTCTGAATTTAGGGATAATTCTACCCTACGTTGCCAGTAGGGCTCAGAAGGAATCACCCAACCTCACCACCCTGAATATTGCTCAGACGCAGTCCTCTCTGGTGTCTCTGGGAGCAGCAGGCCCCTGTCCCCGTGGGAGCGGGGGCTTGGAGAAGATAGGGCTGAGGTGACTGCCCGAGGGCCAGCCCCAGAACCGTGGGCTTTTCTTGCCCAAAGGATGTTTCCTGAGCACTCTCTAATTGAAAGTAGTTTAAAATGGTTCTTGTCTGGTGGAACTGTGGGTAATTTCCCCTCCTTCAAGAAGCTCCAGGGATGGAGACGGGGAAGGCAGTGGGAGGGATGGGGTGGGGAGTGCCCCGTGCCGGGCAGCGTGGAATGATCCTCCTTCGGGAGAGCGGGGTGGTAGTGGTGGTGTATTGGCCGTACTTTGTCTCTAGGTAAAATCGTGTTTGTTTTTTTGTGTGTGTGTGTCTACTGCCTAATTTCTAAACAGAATTGCATTTTTTTTTTTTTTTTTGAGCACCTGGTTGGTTGATCCTTAAAACAAGAGGCACCCTGCTCTCCCCTGCTCCAGTCAGCTCCTGCAGCAGCCCTGGGGCCATTTCCACCCTCACCTCCGCCAGAAGCCCTCGGTGGCCCCTTTGTCTGTAGGATCAGGGCCTGGCTGGCCTTCCACACCCTCTTCTGGGCCCCGGTCGCCCCCCACTGCCTCCCCCTCTGCGCCCTCTTCCGTGTCATCTACCTTGGATACACCTCACCCTCTGGCCCCTTTCCTCCCCTTCTCAGGGCACCTTTCTGCCCCCCAACCCACCTCAGATACCGCTGCCTCTTTGACGCCCTCCGTGGTCCGGCTGCCCCCCACCCTGTCTTGATCCCTTGGTCCGGCTGCTCTGCCGTTGCCCTCTCCCGCTGCCCCCGCCCACAAGGGTCACTGCAGGCGGGGCCCATGCACACATCACCCCCATGTTGTAGCTTTCTCTTCTGTGCTATGACTTGCTGTGGCCGTTCACGGTTTACAGGCGCTTCCTCGTACCTTACGTACCTGAGCAATCCTACCTCCAGAAACCTGGGAGCTGAGAGTTTCGATGGCAGCACCGAGCCCAGAGCCGTGTCTCGCAGGGAGTCAGGGCAGTGGGTATGGGCCCCTCGCCCATCCGGGGCCCCATCCTCTCTCCACCTCCCACCCCTGCCCCATCCCCAGTGCCCCAGAACTCCTTCCTACCGAGCACTCACTCGAGCCCGGGAAGGCTGTTAGCTGAGGCGGAAGTGAGAGGTGGGGGACCACAGGCCCTGCAGACGGGCCCACTCCAGCTCCTGGTTCTTGGGGCTATGGGTCATGTCGTGTCAGGGGCGCGGGCCCACCCTGGAGCCTTCCAGAGGAGACCCACTGGGCTGAGGTGTGCCGAGCAGGAAGGCTTTCAGCTGCGGCCCAGCTGTGGGGAGGCCGCCCTTCCTGGTTCCCGGGGGCCTGGGGCTGGCTGTGCCCTCCGAGGATGTTCCTGGCCCCTGAGGGGACGCCCCTGGGCTCTGTCTTCTTCCTGGTGCACAGAGAGCTGCTGTGGGTCCGGATGGACGCCTGGAGGGTGTGGGGTGAGGTGTGGCCTTCCCTCTCCTGGGCTTCCCCTCCAGGGCGGGCTGCACGTCCGTGGTGGGTCACAGGAGCAACTCAGGCATGGCGGCAAGGACACCGTGCCACAGGGAAGCTGACTCTGTGTGCCTTGGGGTGCCCACCGATGCCCACGCTGAGAAAGCCTCAAGAAGACCCCATTTAAGTCCCCTTCCTCCTAAGCATTAGCCTCCTGTGAGTCTTCTGTTCAGAGGTCACTCCTGCCCCTACACCTTCAGTGACTCCCCTGAGCTAAAGCCACGGGGCTCCACCCTGGCTGCAGAGAGTCCCCGGGGAGCTTCTCAGGATCGCGTAGGCCCGTGTCTCTCAGGCTCTGCTCTGATGGGTCTGGGCTGGGGCCCCGGCGTCCGCCTGCTAGGCTGGGAAGCTGGACTAGAGTAGAGCGTGGGCTTCCACAGTTGCCTGCCAGCCCAGTTCCCCTTCTTGTCCCTTCACACCCTCGATCCAGTCAGGCCAGCGCCTTCCGGGTCCCGCCTGCTGGGCACCGTCCACACCTCTGTGCCGCCCCATGGGCTGCTGGCTCTCTCCACCCCAACCCTGCCGGCCCGCACGGCCCAGCCACATCCCACGCTCTCTGGGAAGCCTATCTCCAGTCACGTGGCGTGGCGGTTCCTTCTCCCCCTGGCACGTGGCCTGGTACCGTTCTTAGAAGGTGCTCAGGATGGCTTGTTAAAAGCACCAATACCCCCCGACCCAGTACACGCACCTCTTTCTCTCCTCAGCCTCTGTATCTTTCGTTGCCCCCAGCCCTGGTGGCCTTTCTAGGATCTATTCCAGCCTTGAGGAGGGTGGGGCCGGGGCCGGATGGCTGGATTCACCCCCTTCTGCCCCTGATCCGGAGCCATTTGAGAAATGGGCAAGGAGGTCCGTTAAGGACCAGTTGGGGTCAGAGGCCAAGATGCGGGTCCCCCTCCCAGGCAGAGACGCACTCACCTGCCTGGGAGCCACTGGAGGCCGCAGAGCCCAGGCCTCGGGGGCGGAGGGGAGGCCCTGCTGTGTCCACGGTCAGAGCCCCGATGGCTTAGCCTTGCCGTCCGTTGGCTTCCCGTGGAGCCTGAGCCGGGGCCATGCCGTGGGCCTCGCTGTGCAAAACCCTCCCGTCCCAGCCCTGGTGCTGTGTGTCCGTGTGTGTCTGTGTGTGTGCTGTGTCCGTGCCTGGGGGTGGGGGGCGAGGCCCCGCTGGACTCTCACCCTCTGCCGTCCTCCAGGCAAAAGCGGCCAAATCGGAGCCGGAGGCCGGGAGGTTGCTGCTGCGGGGCCTGCAGTACCTGGAGCGCTACGTGTACCTGGTGCTCTTCAACGCTTACCTCCACCTGGAGAAGGCTGACTCCTGGCAGAGGCCCTTCAGCTCGTGGATGCGGCAGGTGAGAGGCCGCCCCACGCGGCCCCCGCAGGCCCGGCAGCAGGCTCCCCCGTGGGCAGAGCTGTCCTTTGGCTCTACGGGAAGCTTCCAGGATCAGGATTGTGTCTCGTTCAGCGTTGGGTGTCTGGCCCGGCGTCTGCACGTGGCCGGCCGTCGGGGGAAGTCGGAGGCATGAATCAGTGAGAAGGGGGGTGGTGTGGGGAACGGCACAGGGCAGTGTGCTAGGTCCGGCCCTGCTCTGGGCATCCCCAGGGCTGAGGTGACCTGCGTGCTTCGTGCCCATTCTTGTGTTCCCTCCTCCCCTGTGCCCTGCGAGGGGCAGGACGGCGTGGTGGCCTGGCCCCTGCCCCCTTCCAGCCGTGACCTTGGACAGGTGGGCCCTTCCCTCTAGCTGTCCTCAGCATGAAGGCGGAGATCGTCTTAATGCTGTCCCTGCCACCTGAGAACGTCGTGGTGGGGATGCCATGAGATACGTCTGGTGCCATGCGCTAGGCCCTGTGTGAGCTGAAGACAGCCTTAAGGGTGGTCCTTTCGAGGATGAGTGTTGAGTCAGGGGACCCAGGGCCACATTGGGGCCATCCTCTTGAGCAGGCCTGGACTTGGCTTCCTCTTTGGACCCCTGGGTGGGATGGAGGTCGTGGGGAACCTAGGACACTTCTGCTTGGGTTCTGCTTGGAGAGTGGACATTGGGAGAACCAGGGGCTGGGCAGGAGCTTGAACCAGCTGAAACTAGGTGGTGCATGTTGGGGGTTGTCTAGAAAGGAGAGAGCTGTTCCAGTCAGGAGTGTGGGCTCCCGCCTCAGGGGCCCTCTGTCCCTCCCTCCTGCGGATGCGTGGAGGGTGGGGGTGAAGGTTGCCTCTGGTGAGTGGAGCCTGCATCCTCCCCATCTCCTAAGATGGTGGAGAGAGAGGGGGGCTGGTCACTGAATGGGTTGTGTCTCCCAGGCCCTGGGCCACAGGGTTGCATGGAGAACGTCCAAGGAGGCCCCCCCCCGCCCGCCTGAGGGGAGGCCTGTGACAGACCTGCCTGGTCTACGGCCGGAACACACAGCCACAGGGTTGCTTGCTGGCTCCCATACCCACACCGCCTTCTCTAGCCCTCCGTGGGGGCCCCGGCTGTAATGCCCATGAGCCACTGGGCCCGTGACCCCTAGTGTCTCAATGGGAGCATCAGGGCTGCGTGGGCACAGGGGTACTTGGCTTCCTGCGCCGCTCTCCTCTTCCTTACTATCTGCTGGGTGCTTTCTGTGTTTCTGGAGCCCTCCAGCATCGTCCTGGGAAGTAGAGACAGTTGTCCCCATGATGAGGAAGCTGAAGCTCGTGGTAGTGAAAATGCAAACTTGCTCAGGTTGCTGAGCTGGTGGAAGGCAGCGCTGGGCCCCAGGCTCAGCTGTGTGATCTAGAGCCTGCCGAGGGGAGGAGGGCGTGGTGATGTGGAGGGGGCGGGTGGACCTGGATGACAGCCTCTTTCCCTGGGACTACAGCCCCCAGCTCTGCTGTCTCCCCCAGGTGGCATCGAAGGCCGGAGTCTATGAGATCCTCAACCAGCTGGGCTTCCCCGAGCTCGAGAGCGGGCAGGACCAGCCCTTCTCCAGGCTGCGCTGCCGGTGGCAGGAGCAGAGCCGCTGGCCCGAGCCCTCCGCCGCTGGGGACTTCCTGTAGGTTGGGCTCCCTGCCCCACCCCTGCCCCTGCCTGCCCCTGCCCCGGCCCCTACCCGCCTCCTCCTACGGAGCTCCATGCAGGCTGGGGATGCTCCAGGTGCTCTTCACGGGGAGTGGTGCCGAGGAACCCAGGCCCCCGGAGAGACTGGGGCGGGGTTGGGACCCTGTTTTAAAAAGAGCTTTTTATAGGACGAGTAGTGCACGGTTACACTTGTGAACAACAGGCGCGCGTGCTTTGCAGACCGCAGACGGCTTCCAGGGAGCTCGGTCCCCAAGTAGCCGAGCAGAGCTACTCGCTGCGGCCACGCGCACCCTCCTCGGCCACCTCACAGTGGTCCTGACAGCCTGGGGTGTGGAGCCGGTTTCCTGCTTGCTTTCTCTTGCTGCCCTCCCCGCTTGGCCTCTCCCCTATTGCTGCCTGAGCACTGCCCTGGGGCCCCTGGTCCCTGGGGAACAGACAGGGCTCTGGTGGATTTGTCACCTCAGTGGCAGCTTCACCCAGTTTCCTTGCCTCTCGTGCCCCATCTCCAACCTGGAGACCCCGAGAAGCGCAACGGCGTGGCCTGCTGGGTCTGGCGGAGGCTCTGCCGCTCCTTCCTTCCCTCCCCCTCCCCTGGGGCTGGCGGGACTGTGGAGGTCCCCAAGGAGCTAGAAGGGAGGAGTCCCTCTCGGGAGGAAGGAGCTTCTAGAAGATGGGTGCAGCCCTATGGAAGAGGCCTGCCCCAGTTCCCAGGGAGCCAGGGCGGGCAGTGCTAAGGAAGCCCAGGCTCCCTGCAGCTGGTTCTACCACACTTTCCCCGCCCTGGCTGCCCAGGTGGCCCCAGGTCCCCTTCTGCTGCAGCAGGAGCCCCGAGGACCGCTGGGGGGCCCTGAGTGAACAGCGGAGCATGCGAGTGGGCTAAGGGGGGTTCCAGGCCATCCTGGCTGAGGACCCCTGAGCTTCCCTCCAGAGGGACCAGAGGGGCCGAGGGTTGAGGAGCGGGAGGCCTCAGGAGCAGCTCTGTCCCCACCGTGGGAAGGCTGCTGGAAGGGCCGGCCCTGTGGAGGTGAGTCGTGCAGCTCTTCCTCTGGGGACCACTGTCCGCCGAAGCCCCGGGGGCTGACCGGTGTGGAGGCTGCCCCCCTGGGCCTGGCTCGTGGCGGCCTGGGAGCCCTCCCTGGTTGGACGCATGCACTTCTGCAGAAAACCAGTGGACACGTCTCTGGTCTCAGGAGGAGAGGCCAGAGTTGTTCACATCTACCTAGTAGTGGAAAATATTTGGCCATCTTGGCTGAAATCTTCTGCAAAACTACTGTATGTCTGTTCACTACCTTTTTGGATTTGTTTTTGTTTTTATTTTTGCATGAATTAAAAAGTTTTCATTTCTTTGCAGACAAAGTCTAGATGAGGGGTCACAGATCAGGCTGAACTGGGAGGGATCCTCTGTGTTCTCACAGTTGACCCTGACTTTCAGCTGTGCTGGGACCACGGGCTGGTCACTTTGCCTCTCTGCCTCAGTTTCCCCATTTGTAAAATGGGAGAATAATACTTGCCTACCTACCTCACAGGGGTGTTGTGAGGACTCATTTGTGACTTTATTTTGTACAGAGCTTTTGAGCATTAAAAATGGCTAAATTAAAGTGTGCCTGCCTGCTGATGTCTGTAGTATATTCTAGAACTGATGTGAGCTGTGGTCCTGGCTCCTTCAGAGTAGTGGTGGGTGGGCAAGGTGAGTTGAAAGCACTGATTCTTGGAGAAGGTAGGTTTTTCCAGACATCCCTCTCCTTCCTTCACATCCTTCATGCGTGACCATCTCACTTTGGATGCCTGGGGCTGTCATGCTGAGCCCCTCCTTGAAGAAAGCCACACAATAGGCTAATTCATGCTATAGTGTGAAGGACTGTTGTGTTCAGGGACATGGAGCAAAATGAAATTTCAGGGGTTATGACGGAGGTCGGATTTCAGCCTCTACTTCCTTCTCTCACTCCCGCGGGCTTTGCTTGGCCCCTTCCGGCCCCCAAATACTTAGACACAATGGCATAGAGAGGTTGGCGTGTCAAGAGGCAGTGAGGAGAGTGAGGCAGAGGGCATAGATCCCAGTCTCCTCCCCATGCTCTCCCAGCGTTAGGGGAATGAGACCCTCTGGGTTGTATTTCCGAGGTCAGCTGGAACCCAGAGCCCCGTGGGCTAGGGGTGGTGGTCTTCTCAGCCTGGGAGGGAAGGCCTCCTGGGGTTATTTCTCAGCACAGCAGAGTCCAAGGATGCTCCCTGTGGCTTCTGAATGTGAATGTAGAGACATGCATAGTGGTGTGTGTGTGTGTGTGCATGCACGCACACCTGGGCAGTTCTCGGCCTGGGGATACGTAGGAGTGGATGATGTGTTCACGGGTGTGTCCCCTCAGGCTCCCTGGGCCCGTCCTGCCTGTGGCAGGGCATCTGGCAGTTACGTGGACGGTGCTGGCTCCCAGGTCAGCAGCCCCTCTGGTGCAGGGCATCTGAAGACTCTGTTCGCTGAGTGAAGACACGCGAAACCTTCGAACAGCCCCTGATGCATTGTAAGCGTGAGGTCAGTTTTAGCCAACTTCGCAAAGTCTCTCCGCCGGTCCTTTTGGGGTGCTCAGGAGTAGTCCCTCACTTATCCCACGTCTGGTCATCGCTGTGGGGGCGTCCCTGCGCCTTCCAGAACTTCAGACATCATGGAGGCTCTCCCGCACTCAAGTGCCCAGGCTGGGAGGTGTCATTTGGGTTAGGGCCTGGGGTCTGCGTTTACTTGCAGTCAAGGAGCCCGACGAGGTCACTTGGTTGAGCTGCCACCCTATTTTCCCACTGCCCCCTGGGGGCCTGGCACCTAGGCCAGCAGCCTCGATATGCCTGGCTCCCACTCCCGTACCCTGCGTTCTTTCCCAAAGTCTTCTGGGTCTTCTGGGGGTCCTGCCACGCCAATTTGCCTCTGTGCCCAAACCAGACGAGCCTTTGCTGGGACCCTGCCTGCCTTAGGGGTGTACGTGTGGGTGTTAATGAGCACGTGCGGACTTCTGTATATAAGGGTGACTGTGGAAGGTGGAGAAGCCTGTATGTGGGCTGTGGGCAGTGATTCAACAGTCACACATGGGGCTGTGACAGGGACAGCCCCACCTTCCAGAGCCTGTGGTATTTCTGGGAAGAGAATGAACGAGTCGTTCGCACTGGGTATGGCGAGAACTGGGATGCCGCGGGCTGCCGGTAGACAGGAGCAGTGAGGTCGGATACCAGGTCTAGAGTTCAGCCTGGGGCCCTGGCTTCCATTGCTCCCTTCTGATGGAGCTTCTAGAACAAGGAAACACTGAGGGTGTGGACCCTGGGGGCATGGAGCCCAGGGACATGCTGGGCCTGGAGTCAGACCACCTCACCCTTGGACCCCCAGGGCTCAAATGATCTGAGTTCTTCCTGACCCTGCTTACCCTCCCAGCCTTGACCAGACTCCAGGAATTGGTCATATTCTGTGGAAGGGGGACCCCCAGAGGGCCTTTGTCTTCTCTGCTCGTCCCAAGAACCAGTTTAGGATGAGCTGGAAAAATGGAGCGCCCACCCAGATGTTGCCTAACAGATCTTCCCGCTGTGTCCAGTCCGGGGACCCCCAGCTTCTCCTGCAGAATCAGCACTGTTAGATCTTTACCTGGGCTTTTCCTTACAAAAGGCTGCTTATCTTTTATTCCCGTAAGTAAAGCACGATCAGCAGCTCGTTATGAAAATTCAACCAGTATCCTCACCGCCCCCAGCTCCCACCCCCACTCCCACCCTCTGGCTAGAGAAGGCACCCGTGTTGCTAGAGAAGCCCATGACGGCTGGGCCTTTCTCCTGGCGGTGCTTTCCCTGGCTGTGGCATTCGCTGCCCATTGGTCTGGCCCCAGCTGAGACGCACACCCCTCTCTGCTCCGGCGGCAAGAGTGGTTTCAGCATGTGTACCCTGGCCGTTGAGATCGTGGGTGACTCCCCTTGTCTGAGTCTCCAGTCCCTCAACTGTAAAGGAGATTAAAATACTTATTTTGTAGGGAAAGATCAAAGTTAAGGTAGGGGACCCAGTACCGTGCCTTACTTTTGGCAGGAATGCCCGCAGGAATCGTTTTGTTCTGATGAGTTTGTTATTCTAAGACCCGGAGCAAAGGAGGTCCAGTGGAGGTGTCACCAAAGTAGTGACGGGGACACTGGAGGCTCCCTGAAAGTCAGGGAAGCTTGAGCCAGTAGGCAAGTAATGGCAGGGAGTTGGAGGCCAGGGGGTCCGGAGGCCAGGGGGCCCGGGGGGCAGAGCTCATCCACGTCTCCTTCCTTCCTGGAGGAGCCAGTATGAGGGACGAAGGCACTGCTCCGTGTCTCACGCAGCTGTTCTCTTAGGAAAGCCATGCTGACTTCTCTAACACCCAGAGCAGGTGCAGGGCAGCCGGCGTGAGGGGTGGTAGGTAGCAGGCCAGGGAGAGGCCTTGGGAAGGGCTGACTTGGTGGTGTCCCAGAGGAAGGCAGCGGCGGCGGAGCCCTGGGGAGCCGACTGGAGAGCGATTAAGTTTGTTGCAGTTGGATTAGGGCAGACAGCCCGGCTTCCAGAAAATTTCCCTGCCTCTGGGTGGCCCAGGAGAGAGCTGCGTTGGGTCAGGAAGCTTCAGGGGCCGCTAGAGCTGGGCACTTCCTGCCCACTGCAGTGTCTCTCCCAACTGGCAGCTTACCGTGGGTCTTCCCGCCGCCCCCGTGCTCGGCCCCAGAGCTCCTCAAGCCACACGGCCGTGGGGGCCCCTTCCTTCCCTCTCTCTCTTTCCCCAACTGTCAGCCCGCATCATGGTCTGAAGGCCCTCCCTGCCTTCTGTCTACTCCCCCTTCCTCCTTCGTGGGGTTCCCCAAATAAATCTCTCATACATCTAATCCCATCTTGGTGTCCATCACTCTGAGGACCTGGACGACACCCCCTCACTCTTGTCTTGGCCTCTCTGAGCAGCTACTTTGTCCTGCTTCCTGGGGAAGGTCAACCTTCTCTGGCACTGCTCGGGGGAGAATGACCCCCTGTCTCCAACTTCACCTGTTCTTCATTGCCCTGCCCTTCGTCTCAAGGGAGGCGCCGCTGGTCCTGTGGACTGTGGACTGCAGCCAGGACACCGTTGTTCACGTTTACCTGTGGATAGAGGGGTGGGAAAGACAGGAGGACAGAAGGAGTTGATACCCCCAAATGTGCATATGGTGGTGCGAACCTCTGATTCTTTTCTAAATAAAGGGAATCCCCATTTTCAAGGTCTTTGAACCGCACCTCCAATGTGTGCTCTAGAAACGTCCTCCTTGCAGTCCTGAAGAGCAGTTCATGCCTGAGTGTGCTCTTCTCTCTAGCCAGCATTGCCTGTTACATTTTTAAAAAGTTCTTGCCATTTTGTGGCTCAAAATAGATCTCATACTTGTTTAATTTTGTATTTCTTTGAAATTGATAGTAAGGTTGAACTTTATTTCATATTTATTGGCCATTTGTATTTTCTCTTATGAATTGTCTGTGTGTTCTTTGCTGACTTTTTCTTTGGGGGGTTTGTCTTTTCCTTCTTGATTTGTAAAGATGGTAACGCTTGCTTTTCCCATGTATGTTGCATTATTTTTAGCTTTAAAATGTCATCAGACACACACGTTCCCTTAGAGCCTGTCCTCTCCATCCTTCTTTTTTTTTTTTTTTTTAATTTTATTATGTTATGTTAGTCACCATACAATACAAACCCCTTCTCTTAGGGGTTTATTAGTTTTTGATGTAGTGATCCACGATCCATTGTTTTCGTATAACACCCAGTGCTCCATGCAGTACGTGCCCTCCTTAATACCCATCACCAGGCTAACCCATCCCCCCACCCCCCTCCCCTCTAAAACCCTGTTTGTTTCTCAGAGTCCATCGTCTCTCATGGTTCCTCTCTCCCTCCGATTTCCCTCCCTTCATTTTTCCCTTCTTTCTCCTAATGTCCTCCATGCTATTCCTTATGTTCCACAAGTAAGTGAAACCATATGATAATTGACTTTCTCTGCTTATTTCACTTAGCATAATCTCCTCCAGTCCCATCCATGTTGATGTAAAAGTTGGGTATTCATCCTTTCTGATGGCGGAGTAATATTCCATTGTATATATGGACCACATCTTCTTTATCCATTCATCTGTTGAAGGGCAGCTTGGCATTTTCCACAGTTTGGCTATTTGCGGACATTGCTGCTATGAACATTGGGGTGCATATGGCCCTTCTTTTCACTACATCTGTGTCTTTGGGGTAAATACCCAGTAGTGCAATTGCTGGGTCATAGGGTAGCTCTATTTTTAATTTTTTGAGGAACTTCCACACTGTTTTCCAAAGTGGCTGTACCAACTTGCATTCCCACCAACAGTGTAAGAGGGTTCCTTCTATGCCCTCAGTCCACACCGTAGCCAGGTGGTTCTCAGATCAATAACCTGTGCTTATTTTTATTTATTTATTTATTTTTGAAAATTTAAAATGGTTTTTTAACCTGTGCTTATTTTATTATGTTCTGTATGAGAGCACTTACTTTGTCAGGTGCTGTATTTGGCTTTGTTTATTGTCCTCTCCCCATTCAACACCCCAACAATACCACAGGGTAGTATTATGACCCCCATTTTATAGATAGGGACACTGAGGCC